TTCAATCTGAATCCAAAATCCACTAGCTATATATGTAACTAAATAATACATAGTTCAATCTGAATCCAAACTCCACTGGCTATATATGTGATTAAATAATACATAGTTCAATCTGAATCCAAAATCCACTGGCTATATATGTGATTAAATAATACATAGTTCAATCTGAATCCAAACTCCACTGGCTATATATGTAACTAAATAATACATAGTTCAATCTGAATCCAAAATCCACTGGCTATATATGTGATTAAGTAATACATAGTTCAATCTGAATCCAAAATCCACTGGCTATATATGTGATTAAGTAATACATAGTTCAATCTGAATCCAAAATCCACTGGCTATATATATGTGATTAAGTAACACATAGTTCAATCTGAATCCAAAATCCACTGGCTATATATATGTGATTAAGTAACACATAGTTCAATCTGAATCCAAAATCCACTGGCTATATATATGTGATTAAGTAACACATAGTTCAATCTGAATCCAAACTAACTTGGCCATGTGGAAGAGAACATGAACATGATAACACCATAGTTACACTACATGGTACCTACGAGTACAAAATCTGTCGTTTCAAATCATATTCAAGTGATTTTGAACAAGGCATAGCAACATGTACACTGTTTTCCACATGATCAAGCTGATCTATACACAGAGTATCGTAACACCGTGTGGTCCATACAGAGAGAGCAATTTATGAAATATGTGGCCGAGTACTACATAGTTCATTCTGAATCTAAATCCCATGGTATTTTATTCACTTACTGAAGACAGCTGCTAATTATATTAAGGCCTTGAATGTGTTTGTCTGGATTATTTACAAACATGATATTATAAATAATTATCTAGTTTTTAGAAACATAAAATGTATCATGTAAACAACAAGTGCATAGTTCACCTTCAGTGTAAGAATTGTAGTCCTGGTGATGAAGGATCCGAGACACTGTCGACACTTTTCTTCTGTACATCTGAGAAACTTTAACAGCCTGTTTTAATGCACCCATAGCCAGCTCAATATCACTCTATAGGGTAAAAAACAAAATATAGATATCTTTCTCCCAGGAAATCGTTAAGCACTAAATAATACCAAAGTCACATCATATGATGGAAAATGATCAAGTGATGTATGACAATATGTCAGGTGACAAGACAGAAAATGTTCAAGTGATGTATGACAATATGTCAGGTGACATGACAGAAAATGATCAAGTGTTGTATGACACTATGTCAGTTGACATGACAGAAAATGATCAAGTGTTGTATGACACTACGTCAGTTGACATGACAGAAAATGATCAAGTGTTGTATGACACTATGTCAGTTGACATGACAGAAAATGATCAAGTGTTGTATGACACTATGTCAGTGACATGACAGAAAATGATCAAGTGTTGTATGACACTATGTCAGGTGACATGACAGAAAATGATCAAGTGTTGTATGATACTATGTCAGTTGACATGACAGAAAATGATCAATTGTTGTATGATACTATGTCAGGTGACATGACAGAAAATGATTAAGTGTTGTATGATACTATGTCAGGTGACATGACAGAAAATGATTAAGTGTTGTATGACACTATGTCAGGTGACATGACAGAAAATGATCAACTGTTGTATGACACTATGTCAGGTGACATGACAGAAAATGATCAACTGTTGTATGACACTATGTCGGGTGACATGACAGAAAATGATCAAATGTTGTATGACACTATGTCAGGTGACATGACAGAAAATGATCAAATGTTGTATGACACTATGTCAGGTGACATGACAGAAAATGATCAAATGTTGTATGACACTATGTCAGGTGAAATGACAGAAAATGATCAAGTGTTGTATGATACTATGTCAGTTGACATGACAGAAAATGATCAATTGTTGTATGACACTATGTCAGGTGAAATGACAGAAAATGATCAATTGTTGTATGACACTATGTCAGTTGACATGACAGAAAATGATCAATTGTTGTATGACACTATGTTAGGTGAAATGACAGAAAATGATCAAGTGTTGTTTGACACTACGTCAGTTGACATGACAGACAATGATCAAGTGTTGTATGACACCACGTCAGTTGACATGACAGAAAATGATCAATTGTTGTATGACACTATGTCAGGTGACATGACAGAAAATGATTAAGTGTTGTATGACACTATGTCAGGTGAAATGACAGAAAATGATCAAGTGTTGTATGACACTATGTCAGGTGAAATGACAGAAAATGATCAAGTGTTGTATGACACTATGTCAGGTGACATGACAGAAAATGACAGTTGTGTGATGACCTAGCAAAGTGACCCAAATGCATGTGTAACTAGGGTGAAAAGAAAGACTTTCTATGTCAGGAGCTAAACGTACTCTATATGCACTAAAATAATGGGGTAGAAAACACATGGTATACCTGAATATCATACTGAACCAGTTTAAAATGCTAATCAACATCTGCTACTGTAGAATCATAACCAGAAAAAGTCAACTGAAAATATAAATATGTATCAAATTACTACTAACAGAGCAGTTATGTCGATTTTCGCATTTTAAGGAGGGGAGAACCTAAAAAGCATAACACAACAGTATCCTTATAGTTTAGATGAAAAACCTTATTCAGAATACAGCAATTTGGTTAAAAAGAAGAGCACTACACACATAAAACAAGAGGAAATCCTCAATAACCACAGTTGTAATTAAATTTGAAATTGGTCAATAGATGGAGAAACAAGCTAAAAGTTTGTACTTAAAAAAAAACTCTGAGCCATTCTACGAGCCACTATGCGATGGCTAAACCAATCCAGACAAAAACTAGAAAGTAAGAGAGGTTAAACACATCCAAGTGGTAAAGATAGCAGAAGAATGAGGACTGATACAGTAGTAGAGATACATAGTCTGTCAGTCTAAGAATTGGAGTATCCATAGTATTTTAGAGAATTATACCAAGCCAACTGGGATTAACCCTTTAGAAAATAGACTATAGCAGAATGAAGTTTTTTCTTTCCACATTATAAATCACATCAATCAATGAATCCAATGTGCAGATTGAGAGTTTTTGTTTTTAATGGTTATGTAATTAAACAAATATTACCATTTCCATTGTCATTATTGCCTGTATAAAGAGAATCGTTCCACGGCCTACTCCATGATAAATACTGGCGTGTGCTCTTTAAAAGAAAGATAAAGGTGGGTAAGTATAAAGCATACACTTCACTAAGCTACGCTAAAATAAATGATCTTGTACAATAATGTTCAAATATCATACTGGAGTTTTAGAATATTGACTCTGAATTAAACTTTTAACTGTTAACTAATTATTTATAAGATAGTTGTCTTTGTTACACACCTTTCAATTCCTGCTGAAAATAAACTAAAACTCATTTACTATGAATATTCACTAAGAAAAATATCTTGAGATTTTTTACAGCACAGAAATGTTTACATTCAAATAAGTTATGATAACACAGATCACTCAAACAAAGACACATTCATAACAATTATTACTAACCTGGAGGATATTATCCTGAGAGCATCATTAAACTTGTTGTTGAGAAAGAGATCCAGTGCATCACATGTTTCATTTAAAACTTCTTGAAGCTCCCATTCTCCCTGTTTTACAGAACATTCACTAACTGAGTCTAAAGGATCTGATAACTCCCAATTCCCTGAATCTAGAGACCTAGGCAAAAAAAAAGATATACATCCCATTCAAAGGAGAGAGAAGACATAACAGAGGCAGTTCCAGCAATTAAATTATACTTTTTCTTCAGTTTTTACTGATGAAGATTTAAGCAGTATTCCACATCTTGATAAGTTGATAAATGGAAACAAGATCAAACAAGATGACTGCATTAATTCTGATCTGGTTTAAGAAAAAATTGGGAAGTTTAAAAAATGATAAGGCTCCTGGGCCAGATAATATTTACCCAAGGGTTTTGAAGGAGGTTAAAGATTAGATATGTGAGCCACTTGCTACTATTTTTTGTCAATCCTTGAATAGTGGGCAGGTACCAGAGGATTGGAAGTTAGCTAATGTAACTCCTCTTTTTAATGGAGGTGATAAAAATTGTCCCAGTAATTATAAACCCAGTAGTCTTACATCAGTTGTGGGAAAAGTTTTGGAAATTCTGTTAAAAGGTGCTTTGCAAAGTCATTTAACAAAGTTTAAACTTTTATTGGATAGTCAACATGGTTTCACTCAGAGAAAATCTTGCCTTACAAATCTTTTAACATTCTTTGAAAAGGTTACTGCTTATGTAGATGAAGGTAAGAGTGTAGATTTGGTGTATCTGAATTTTCAGAAAGCATTTGACAAGATGTTACATAAAAGGCTTTTAAAAAGAA